TGCATAACAAATTGGGACTAGACCTCATCAGCTTTGGCTATTGGACCCTGAATACAAGAGGAAGACAGATTTTTATGTATTAAAAACAATTAACCAAATAAGACCAATTAATTAAAAGAAAATGATTAGCAGGGTACAAACCAGGATACAAAATTAGGTAATCTGATTTCTAATTAGAGGGGAAATGAGGGGATTTCCAAATTGGGAGGGGAGAGTGAACAGGTACAATACCCTGAAATCAGAAAAAAAGTTGTCTCACTCCCCTCAAGTGTCTGTATTCAATGAATGGAACATGGAAACAATAGCTTATTGACCAATACAGATTCAGTTTTCAGATAAAACATATGGGTTACTTGAGATGTATAATGTGAGAAAACTACTTGCATCAGTCTTCAGATCTGATTGGGATTCCAACTGAAGATTTCTACTCTCCCATAGGAAGACAGGACTGGAACTCATAATTATTATTTTTTGAATTTTTTGAATTTTATTAATTTATTTTGATTTATCAATAATCACTTCCATATGCTTTTGATTTTAAAGTGTTTCTCCCCCTTTCTCCCCACCACCCTCCCCAAGATGGCACACAATCTGATATAGGCTATACATTTATTTACATTCCTATTAAACATATTTTCACATTAGTGATGTTGTAGGTAAAAATTAAAATCAATAGGAGGAACCATCAGAAAGAGGAAACAAAACTCAACAGAAGACAAAAAAAAATAGCAATTCAACTTCCATAGTTCTTTCTTTGGATGTGGACAGCATTTTCCATCACAAGGCCTCTAGAGATGTCTTAGATCCTTGTATTGCTGGAAAGGGTTAAATTTATCAATATTAGTCATCACACAATATGGCTGTTATTGTATACAACGTTCTCTTGGTTCTGCTTACTTCACTCAGCATCAGACCATACAAGTCTTTCCAGGTTTTTCTGAAGTCATCCTATTCATCATTTCTTACAGCACAATAGTATTCCATTACATTCATATAACACAACTTGCTCAGCCATTCCCCAATTCAATTCCCCAATACAATGCCCAATGGGCATCCTCTTAATTTCCAATTCTTTGCCACCACAAAAAGAGCTCCTATGAATATTTTTATACGTGTGTGTCCTTTTCCCATTTGTATGATGTCTTTGGTATATAGCCCTGGAAGTGCTATTGCTATGTTGGAACTCATAATTATTGATGGTATAATCTGGAATGATACCCAGATGATAGTGTTTGGAGGCTCATGGGATCCCCAAGGCCAGAAAGCTTGAATAGCTACTGTCTGGAGCAGTGTTACTAGGCCAGGAAAGGTAGCCTGGGATCAGTAGAAAAGGCAGGGATATATTGATACTCGAGTCTTGGACTCTAGGCTGACTGCCAGATGTCACTGGGGTCAGGGTTTAGGTCCCTGGTGGGAGATAGAAACAGAAGGGTCTTCTCTCTGCAGCTCTCTCTTTTTTTGTAGGGGAGCAAGTCTAGCCAACTTATCCAACTAGTTGCTTCTGACAAGAGTTGTACAGATCTGTGATCCAGGTCCAAACTATTCTGAGATTCAGCCTGTTTTCTGGTTTCAGATAGTGATAGGACAGGGCAGATCCAGGACAGCCTGGTTCCAGAGACTAGACAGGTTAGATTCTGGTAGTGGATACTGGGTGGAGATTTGGACAGGTACATGTAGTATTCAAGCCCTTCTAATAGGTAGAAGGCCATAAGGAAAGGCTATTAGCAACAGTGTAGCTGTACTAGGAGTCACGTTTGTCAGAGTACACTACCATGTAAGTTAGGCTAAGTTTTTTTTTCTCTAAAAAGCAGAGAAGCCATCTCTGAGACTTGATGAGTACAGAACTAAGGCTCCATCATTGATTGATGTGGCTTCCTGGTTCCCCAAGGGCTAAAAGAGGCCAGTCTTTGAGAAAAGTCAGTGCCTTTCAGACTTGATGGATTTTCCATAGCTGATTGAACCTACTCATTCTACTAGACCAGTGCTGTATCCTTGCTGAATATTCTTTCCATTCCCTAGCTAAATATATCATCTTTTGTTAAATGTTTAATGGTCTCATTTTATTTGGATTTCTAGCCTAAGTCAAGCCTGGCCTACTACAGTGATACAGCAGTAGTTCGCTGGTGAGTTCCATGGCAAGAGGTTGAAAGTATGTTGTCTAGGAGAAGGGAGGATATTTGGTGACAGGCCAGAGGCTCTTCAAGTTAGGAAACTGCAGTGGGTCCAAAGGATGCTTGATCAGGACGGTGAAGAGACTGCAGACTATGCCATGCAAACATCTGTTGAAGGAAATGGGAGTATTAAACTTGCAAGAGACAAGATAGAGGGGTCATGGATACTTTGAGGGCAGTTGTGATGTTGAAGAAGGACTTAGATATGCTCAGTTTGGCCCCAGAGAGCAGAGGGCAGAGGTAGGAGTTATGGGTGGGAGATATGCCAAGAGGCAGGTTATAGCTGCATAGCAGGAAAACTCCTAACAGCTCCTAAAAAACTTTCCCAAAGTGGAATGGGCTGACTTGAATAAAAGAGATACCTCCTTCCTGGATACCCATTTATTGGGACTTTGTAACCAGGAGTCTTATTCAGGTGCAGTTAGATACTTCTTCATAGTTGGTCCCTCTGTGAGGTCGGCAGATGTCTCCAGCAGCATCTGTCACACCAACGCTGGTATCCATGGCTCAGGGCCCATGCTATTCTGGCAGAAGAGGAACATCCTCAAGCAGGGTGTGTTCATGCAAAGGACATACTTCCCCATATCTGGGCATTCCCTCTTAGAATGCAGGTCCTCTTTATGACTATCAGTGCTACAACCCCAACCTTTTCTGCTGCACTGAATGTATAAGACTCTCGCATCCCTTTCCCAAGAGAAGCACACATAGACACCCTGCCTCTAGCTCAATTACTTAATCTTGCCAGCTGAATTAATTATATATATATATATATATATATATATACATACTTATAAAATATAATAATATATTAAGTGTTATATATTATATAACAGTATATGTTATATTAATATTGTATGAATATTTAGTATTATAGTAATGCTTAATTATATATACAGAGAGAGAAACTATTAAGTAGGTGTAAGGTATTATGTTTAATACTGGGGATACAAGGATAAACAGTTCCTGCCTTCAAAAAACCTACAATCTATCAGAAAGATAAGAAAAATACCTGAATGACTCCAAAGGACTCATGATAGAAAATGCTGTCCACATCCAGAAAAAAAACTATGGAGTCTGAATGCAGATCCAAGCATATTATTTACTCTCTCTCTCTCTTTTTTTCTTTGTTTCTTCTTTCTCTTGGTTTCTCCTGTTGGTTCTAATTCTTCTTTACAACATGACTAATGTGAAAATAGGTTCAATATGAATGTATATGTAGAGCCTATATCAAATTGCATGCCGTCTTGGGGTAGGGGGAGGGGAGAGATGGGGAGAAAATTTGGAACTCAAGATCTTATGGAAATAAATGTTGGAAACTAAAAATAAATAAATTTTAAAAAAGAAAAGTACCTGGATGAACTAGAATACCATTTAGAATATTATTAAGGATGGAGAGCATAAGAATGATAAAAGAGATGGGAAGCACAGTACATAGTAAGCACTTAATAAATTCTTGTTGACCAGCTGAAGAGGGAGTCAGTTCCCTTTGGAAGGAATCAAGAAAGGTTTCAAGGAAGACATGGCTCCTTCTGGGTCTGAGACTTGAAAGAAAAGAAGGATTTCAATAACTGGAGATGGAGGTGGGGCATTGCATATAGTAACATAAAAGCATAAGGTAGAAAAAGTAGGATAAGTTCCTGGCACCATAAAGAGTAGGCTATAACCCAAGGCAGCTGTTGACAGTTACTGGAATTGCAGGACTGGGCTGTAGGAGGAAGCTGGGTCTAGATCTAGAAGGATGCAGCTTTCAAATCCAATCTATTTAAATGAGCAACCATCAAGTACCCACCCCAGAACTGATTAATTAGGTTCTCACCTGAACAATGGTCAGCCTGCAAGCTGGGAGTGGAATTAAGTGTTATTGGGCACAATGGTTAATCGAATCTGGCCTCATATAGTTACTAACTGTGTGATCCTGGGCAAGTCACTTAACCCTTTTGCCTGAGTTTCTTCATATGTAAAATGAACTGGAGAAGGAAATGGCAAACCACTCCAGTATCTTTGCCAAGAAAACCCCAAAATGAGGTCAGGAAGAGTTGGACACAACTGAAATGACTGAGTAATTCTGATGTTAGTATTTGTCTTTGAGATCTTCTGATCTAACTTCCTGCCTGATGGAGGAATACCCTGTATGGTATCCCTGACAAGTGATACAGAATGTTGTGTTTAAAAAAAAGAAAAAGATACTAAATTTGGAGTTCTGAGAGAACTAGCTTCAAATCTTGACTTACTAGCTCTTACCTTTGACATGTTATAACTTCTCTGGGCCTCAGTTTCCTCAACTATAAAATGGGAATAATAATAGTACCTACCTTTCAGAGTTGTTATGAGGATCAAATGAGATAATATTTGTAAAAGTGCTTAGCAGGGGTGGGGCCGGGAGGGGAGGGGCAGCTAAGTGGCACAGTTAATAGAGCACCAGCCCTGGAGTCAGGAGGACCTGAGTTTAAATCTGGCCTCAGATACTTGACACTTACTATCTGTGTGACATTGGGCAAGTCACTTAACCCCATTGCCTAGCCAAAAAAAAAAAAGTGCTTAGGCTCAATGCCTGGCACATAGTAGGCATGAAATAAGTGCTGGTTCTTCCTCCTTCCTTGTTCTAGCTCTGTCCTCTAGAGGTAAGCAGAATAAATCCTAACTGCCTTCTTTGTGCCAATTGAAAGATTTCATTGATGTGGAAGAGAAGTGAGGAGGGCAGAGTAAACCCTGGGTGAGCGAGCCTAGAGAATCAGGTGATATGCACTGAAGAAGAAGGGTTCACTTTTCTTCCTCCTGGCATTTTTCCCCTTCCTCCCCCAGGTTCACATGGGAATCAATTACCTTCCCATGTGATGTTAAGATGTCCCTGGGGAGGAGAGGTGGAACGTCACTCCTATGACAGGTGGAACGTGACAAACACTGGAGCAGAGAAAAAGAGCAACAGGTTCCTGTGGCTCCTCTCCTCGGACCCCCGCGAGCAAACCGCCAGCTCTCCATTGCATTCTGGATTTCTGCTCACTTGGCTTTTGCTCAGTGTCTCAGGTGCAGCTAGGTTCTAGGGCCCCTTGGAGAAACCGTGAAGAGTTCCAGTCTTGTACCATGACTCCAAGAAACAAAATGAGATCGAGTTCAGCACTGGGAAGGTTAGAGACCTCTGAGGACTGGAGGTAAGGGAAGTCCCTTCAGAATCTCCTGGCTCTAGTCCTGACTTCTTGAATTTTGCAGAATGCAATAAAATGCTGGGGGCCAGGAGAGGCCCAGAGTCATTTACTATGGAAACAAGTGCTGGGGGCAGTGGAGGCGTAGCAGAGGACTGTTTACTGCTGTCAAGGAAGTAGACCTTGTTTCCCAGCAGAAAGGGAGTGACCTGCTTGTCCCATTTGTTCACAGAGTGTTCTCATGTTCCCTGTTGGCATGGGCTGTACACTGATGTATAGGGATGGGGTGGTACCTCCGGTGCACAGACTGAACTGGCTGTTGCTATGGAATTTGTAAGCTTGTAATTGGAGTCTCTCTCTTGATTAAGCATTGCCACAGAAAAGGCTCATGCATGCACTAATAAAAATCTTAGAGAGCTATAACAGCTATAACATATATACCAATGAGAAAGGGAAAATTAAAGTTAGTTAGTAAATTGTGGGTAGAAAGCAGTATATATGGAGCCTTACTGGAAGATCCCAAGAAAGTGGTAGATAGAGTTCTTAGAACCTAAGCTGTAAGTTTTTATATTTCAAAGTATTGAGAACCTTACCAGAAATACCTAATACGATTCTGTTCAACCTTTAGAAACACTGACTTTGAGATTCCTGTCTTTCTTTCCTAAGGTCCTGTTGGTCAACAAGGTTGGGGACCTGTCCCTGTCTCTCGCTTTTATCCTATCATGCTTTTTCTCCTTTAGTATAACGAGAGCCTCCAGTGTTTTCAACTAAGTTTTTAACCTCACCCTAGTTATTGTACTTGGTGCTAATTAAAAGTGCTTCAATTCTTCTGAGATAGCTGAGATCAAAAGCCCGTTTGATCTTGCAAGATCCTGAAAGGAAATTTGACTCTAAACTAGGTATCACTGCAATATTGAGATTGTTCCTGAATCTGAAATCTGAATAGTTAATATTTCTGTAAAAAACATTATACCTTTTGCTGGCCTTCTGATTTCCCTGGAATATATGGCTTCTTTTTTTAAGGGGTGGAGGAGCAAGGATTGGTGCAAGTGTATCTTGAATGGGCAAAGCAACAAGAGAGTCTCTTTCTTCTTATAAGTATCACATCCCCTCCTGCAGAGTTTCTTTAAATATTATTATCCTTATCTTCAAAGATGAAGAAACTGAGGCTCGGAGAAGTTAAGTCAAGTTAAATCAGCAAGCATCTATAAAGCCCTTCTTATGTGCCAGGCCCTGTGCTAAGGCTAAGATACAAACAAGAAGAAAGAAAGACAGTGCTTGCCCTCAAGGAGCTTACATTCTAATGGGGGGAGACAACATATAAAAGGCATAAAGGGAACTGAAAAAGGGCGATGGTGGGGTAGCAGAAGGTACCTGGCTTGAGGGCAGAAAGTCAGGAATGCTGCCTAAAGAGGAAGGAAGACACGGTTGCCCAGGGTCTCCTTCTTCAAATGGAGGTTCTGGGAAGAACCAACCAATCAGAAGGAGAAGCCAGAAGAATTCCAGGGAACTTCCGGTGTGAGAATAGCCAGAAGTGTAGTGAGCTTCTAGAGTGAAGAAATTTCTGTGGTGTGGTAGAGAAAGCTGAGGTTAAATGTCTTGATCAAGCTTGGCAGAGATAAGCCTGGAATACAATTCATCTAGCCAGGTCTACTTTTTTCTTATGTCACAGCTACTCCACCATTTTCTGGGCTGTAACTCTAGTCCCTAGCAGTGATACCCTGTTATGATCCTTAGAATTTCCTTAGCAATGCCTCGAAAACAGAAATGTACATTTCCCTATACAAGTCTATTGGAAGAATTGAATTGATTAGTTACCTTGAACTAGATTTGTGTTAGATGACAGCAGACCTGTAGTGGAAGGTGAGAGTGACTTTTTGATACACTATAAAGGCTTCTAATTACAACAAATAAACCACTAAGTCAAGAATCAAGTGTCAACTGCAGGCCTGTTGTACTAATTAGCTAGTGCCTGGCCTTCAGCTGTGACAAAGGGAGAATAAAGATAGAAGAGATGTGGTCCTGTGGAGTCTCATCCATTTTAACCCCTATTTGGAAAGTCAAGGCCAATTTCAAAATAAAGTTCTTCCCACCTGATCCATCCACACCTACCTATCCTCATCCTTTGTATTTAAGAGGATAGTGACCTACCAAGCCACAAAGAGCTATTGGTGGCTTAGACAATGCACAAGAATCAGGCACACATTGGAAGTTGAGGTCTGGAATCTTGCAGCTAGAGGAAAAGAAATAGCAGTGGAGATTGGAAGGTGCATGAGACTCATGATCAAGGTGGAGAAGGGGAATCATTTTAGTGGAGGCAACTGCTAAAGGACAGATCCATAAAAAGATTTTTAACTCTTCTGAGAGGTGACATGATGTTATCATGTTCCAACTCTATCAAACCCTCCTCCACCATAAAGTTTTTGATAGTCCCTAGTTCAAGTCCTCATCACCTCTTACACCCCTTATCACCTATTGCAATAGCCTAGATGGTCTCTGCTTCAAGCCTCTCTCTACTTCTAATCCATTCTCCATGCATCTGCCAAAGCAGTTTTCCTAAAGCACAAGTCTGATCATGTTCCTCCTCACCTTTTTCAATAAACTCCAATGCCTCCCTACTACTTCTAGGATATAATATAAAACACTCTGTTTGACACTGAAATAACCCCTCTGCGATCTGGTCTCTTCCTGCCTCTCCAGTATTTTAGCACATTGTTCCCTTCTATAGCCTAATTGGACTTGGGTACTTGCTGTTACAAGTTTTTCTCAATCTCTCTCTCTGTGACTGTGTACTGAGACTGCTCCCCCATGCCTCGATTTCATTATTCCTTATCTCTGCCTCATAGATGGTGTTATAATTCAAGACTCCGCTCAAGCGCCACCTTCTACAGGAGGCCTTTCTTCCCCCATCTTCTCCCACCTCCCCCTCCATCTGCTAGTCCATTCCCATACAAGGCTGCCTTCTGTCTGCTTTGTATATGTCTCCTATCTATCTATCTATCTATCTATCTATCTATCTATCTATCTATCTATCTATCTATCTATCTATTTTTATCTATGTCTATCTAACTATCTATCATCTGTCTATCTATGGTGAGTATGCTCTGGATTCCTGTCTAAGAGCTAAGCAGGCAAAAACCAGAGGTCCATTTTCAAGGGGCTACATGGTTCCAGAGGTGACAAGATCCAAGGACTCTTCCCTCTCATCATTGTGTCTCTCACTGGACGCTGCTAGCAATGGTATCAAACCCACCGGAGCACAACCAAAGAGAAAGATGATCAAGGCTTTCATCCCTAGTCCTTTCTGAATACTTCCACAGCCCAAAAGCCCTGCCTTCACCGTGTGGTTAACTGGTTGGAAACAACTACAGAATGTCCAGCATTTCTCAAAAATACTTCCAGTATGTTATTAGGACTCTCCCAGAACCAGCTCTTAGCCTCTTCCAAGTGAGGAGACTCTGTCAGAGGCACTATGTGTGTGCCAGTCTTGTGACATTTTACTTGTTGTTGCCCCCATTCGATTGTAATACCCTTGAGGGCAGGTACGGCTGTATTTTGTCTTTTTGTAGCTGACAAGCAGCTTGGCATAGTTGATAGAAAACTATCCAGGAAGACTTGGGTTGAGTCCCGCCTCTGGTACGTAACTGGTTACGCGACCTACGACAAGTCACTTAACTTGTCAATACTCCAGGTAAATCTCAAAGATGATAAGTTACAGATTGTGGTTGTTGTTTAATCATTTAGTCATGTATGACTTTTTTTGATCCCATGGACCCTACTGTCCACGGGGTTTTCTTGGCGAAGATACTGGAGTGGTTTGCCATTTCCTTCTCCGGTGGATTAAGGAAAGCAAAGGTTGAGTGACTTGCCCAGGGTAATACAGCTAGTAAGTCTCTGAGGCCTGATTTGAACTCAGGTCTTCCTCACTCCAGGCCAAGTGCTCTATACACTGTACCACCCAGCTGCCTCCAGTCCCATGATTGCCTCCAGAGTTGCAGAAAAGATGCTTAGAGACATCATGTTTCAGAGAAGATGCCAATCTGCATGGGCAAATAGAATTTCCTCATCTGGAAATTCCCTACATCAGTGAAATCAAAGGTCTGATCCCAATCTCTATCACTTCATATCCCCAACATTTAATACAGTATCTTGCGCATAGTCAGTGCTTAATAAATGCTTGTTAGTTGATCAATTCTGTTAGCATCCTGGGGGAAGTCCTTGCAGTAAACCTGGGTGTTTTCAAATATGTGGCTCCAGATGTATCCCAGGAAGCTCCAGAACTCTAGAATAGGAAGGGTCCTCGGAGGTTATTCCTTCTACAGCATTCCTGAGAACTAATTGTATAGCTTTTATAAAGACTTCCAAGGACATGAATTTCATATTTAAGTCAATCCATTCTATTCTGCACTCTGAAGTAAAACAGAACAAATATAATCACTCTTCCAAACGATTATAGGCCCATAGACATTTAAAGTTTAAGGGACCTTTACATAGTTCATCTAGTCAGTGGTTCTGAGCCTCTTTTGTGTCATGAACCCTCTTTGGCAGTCTGGGGAAGCCTGCTACTGCTGTAGTTTATTGCCTACATTCCTAGATGAAGAAAATGCTAAATTTTGTTTAGAGCACTGGTTCCTCAAAGTATGGTCTGGAAACCCCCGAGGGTCCCTGAAACTTTTTAGGGATTCCTTGGGACCAAAACTATTTTCATAATAACATTAAGACATTTTAATTTATAATGCGGTAAATTCTAATAAGTATATAACCTACACATCACACCAGTGATTTCTAAGGTCCTTTCCATCTCTAACTCTCCAGTCCTATGAACTTCAGTTTCCTTATCAGCAGACTAAGGATAATAAGACTTGTACTACCCCATAGAGGTATTGGGAGGAAAACACTCTGCAGAATGCAAAGCCCTGTGTAAATGGGAGCAATTATTATTAATTCTGCTGCTATTCCTAAAGTTCCCCTTGGAATAATCTATCTGATGTTAGACTTTGTCTGCCTAT